TTTTCGCCGGCGACTCGTCAATGGCACTTGTGGATGAAACTGTGGATTCTGAAGGCAAGACCACGCGCGTCAAGCGCAACGTGGGCGAATACCTGAAGGAGGCAGGACCGTCACTCCTGACGGATCGCGCAGGCAGCGTCCAATACAGCCTGCATTGGGGCCGTGGCCTGGAAGCGATCATTGACGGAATAGAGGCTTGTCTTGACAACGGAAGGCGTCGCACACCGGGAGGTGCTGCCCCAGCCGTCATCGTGGTATCATATGCCGGAAATGATGTCTACGGCAACCACGGATTTGTGGGCAACCCTTGGGTGGACACCAACGTGCTCCACCGGAATCCTGCCAAGCAGAGAGCAGCCTATGAGTGGCAGGCAGAGCTGGCACAGAAACACGCCCAGCAGATGAGGCGTTTGGCGGACTTGAGACAGAGGAAAGATGTGGCAGCCCTGATCGTCATCTGCTACTGCGATTCGCAGAGTTATGGACTGCCGGAAGAATACGCCCGTCAAATGTGCCAGTCAGCGGATGTCTTCACTCGCCTTGGCGTCACGAATGTGACAGGCACCACCCTGGTTCGATCGTGTCAGAGGTATGACAACTTCCACTGCCACAACACCGAAGAGAACCGGGCGATGTTCGTGAAGTACTACGCAAACGTTGCTTTGTTTGCCTACCACTACTGGGTGCTCGCTGGCGTTGACGTGTTGCGCAAAGATGCCAACCTCTTCGCGAAACCTCGTGGGGAGAAAACTCACCGCCAGTATATGCTTGAGCACATCTGGAAGCGGCGCATTGATTCCGGGTACCTCTTCTTGGGTGACTTTGACGAGCACGATGAGCTTATCCCGGGTCAAAAGAGGCAGACTGCCATCGACCAAAAGAATGGCTGGCTCCTGACGGTCTCTGAGACTACCGAGGTCGCTCACATGGATGATTTTGGGGACCCAGTCTACGCGACCAAGGAGCAGATTGAAGCTGCCAAGCTCTTGCCATTCAATCAGCGACTTTACAATATGCCACGGGGAACCGTTGGTCCGGATTTCTATGACGAGGGTCAGGATGTGCAAGTCCCGGCTGAACCGTCGAAGGCTGATCAGACAATGCCGGATGCAAGTGTGCCAGAAGTCATCGAGATTGACGACACCTTTGCGCCCAGCGCTGATTCGCCTCCGGGGACGGAAGGTCGAGATGCAAACAACCAGGCTCCCGTGAGCACTCCGGGCATGGAGTTCGTGTCTGTCACCGCTGATATGCCAAAGCACGGTGACACCGAGGTGGACCCTGTGACCATCACGGAAGAAGAAGAGCTTCATGTATCCAATGAACCCATTGCGGATGAAAACTATGTCAATGAACTTCTCAAAGATCACCTTGACTCCGCCATCAAGCAAGGCTTTGAAAACAAAGATCAGCCAGATGATGACTCAGATGAGGAGATTGTATTCAAGGAACCGATTCTCACATCTATGCATGCCGATTCATGTCAGGTCGCCGGGGTAACCTACCAGTTGAGGAAGAAGGAGGATGAAAGTGATGTCATTCGCATCTACATGGCGGAAGAAGACATCCCTCAGCTCACTGGTGAGGCACTCAGGAAGTTCCGTGAAGTTACAACTCTGGGGAACGAGCCCGACCTGGCCAACAAGGCACCACAACCGAGGATCCCAAAGGCGAAGGCATCAGGTGAGCCGAGGGCACCAAAAGTGCCAAGCGAGGCTGCAAAGTCGAAAACAAAACCGGCATCACCGAAAGCAAAAGCACGCCCGGCGGGAGCTGAGGCCGATGTTGAAATGAAGCCAACAGAGGAAACTCAGCCCAAAGTACCAAAACGCCCGGCGGGAGCTGTGGCCTCGGATTCGACCCCGACAGCAAAACCAGCTGTCAAAGCCAAGGCCATGCCTCGGGCACCACCGGTGCCTCCCGTTTCGTCGCCTCTTGGGGAAAACGAAGTTGTGGCATTGCAGTCAAGATCGGTTCTGGGTGCTGCCAATTTGGCGAACCTGAACTCGAAACACGCGTCTCGGGCTTGCTCCGAGGGTGGGAGCATAGCAGACAATCCTGGCACAAGGTGCAGCCTCCGAGCTTCGACGCTGGGCTGTGGATGGATTTTGGCAAGGTGTACTCGTTCATCAAGCGGAAGTACGATGTCAACCTTACCAACGATGAACTGCTGACGGTCATTACATCCAATCACAGATTCATGCTCGAGGTGAGGATTGCGCCAAAGGGGACTTTGGTCGGTGGAAAATACCAATATACACCTCTCCGGATCAAAGCGATTCAGAACCATAATGAATGGTCAAACAACAACGTGAAGGACGCACTTCCTGAGCATGAACGCTTTGTCACTCTCGATGAGGAGTATACTTCGGTGGAATACCTGGCCGGCAAATTCCCTCGGGTTCCGCGAGGTGCGCTGGGAAAGGTGAAGGAGGTGGCCCCCACCATACTCTATCACTACACGCACCGGGCAGCACTGGTTGAGATCATCAACATGGGATTGATTCCCGGCGGCAATCGAACTGGAGCCAGGTTCACATTCTTGACGAAGGAAGATCCGTGGACAATTTCGGGCACTGACTATGCAGCGATGGCGGCGACACGCCCCATCTGCGTTGCCTTGGATCTCCAAATGATGATTTTGAACGGGCACCGGCTCATAGAAACAACTGCTGGTACAATCCTATGCCCTGACTGGCTGGCAAACCGGAACGTGATTTACGTGTATGACATGGAGTCCCGATGCTACGCCTTCGCGAACCATGTGTACGCACACTATCGCGGCATCATTACCGGTGAAACCAAAGCCTTCAATTCAGCACGCACTGGGGGACCAGTTGCCGATGACGATGAAATGGTGAAAAGCCCACTGGAAAAGTACACCTACCAGGTCCTTGGTGACTACGAGAGGTGGTGTGGTAAGGTGGACACTTTTTCCCCATTCGTGTACGGTGAACTGTTTGAACGCCCAGGCGTGAAAGACCAAATGATATCAGGAAAGCAGAATCCTGATTTGGAAACATACGAGGTCACGTATGTCGTTCGCAGGCCCAATTTCAACGCCTACAGGAACCAAGTGTCGCCCAAAGAGATGCTGCCCAACTACAACCGACCTCGGTTTGATTGGCGCAAGATCCACCCCGAGACTGAGGGTTATGGCAACACTCGATGGATGGTCGTTGAGGGCATTCAGATGCCAGAAGCTCAGTGCCCAACATGCACAAATACCTACACCCATGGCATGATGTCCTGCATCACATGCGGCGCCTTCCTCAACAATGCCTCGGATCTGTGTAAAGCTGCTCAGCTCATTCGGATCGAGGAAATTGCAGCAGATCTCGGTATCGAAGTCACGATGGACATGGTACTTGAGGACAGGCTGCAAGGAACAGGTGTGAGGAGGACGCCGGCGGGGACGCCTGGCCATGAAGTTCAACGTGCTTCTCGTTCGGGCATCAACATCTTGAAAGCGAACGCCAAAAGCCATGTCCAGAAGGCGGACAAAATGTCCATGACAGTATCGCAGCGACAGCTGACTGACGCTTTCTACGCGTTCAACTGTGCAGCCCAGGACCTCTCTCCAATCTGCATTCAGTTCCTGGAACGACTGTCAGATGCCATCATCCCTGATCCTCCGAGGACAAGGGAGATGATTGCTCGTGGCGTCGGTCATCGATACGCTGGAAAAGTCATCTTCATGAACGAGCCAGCAAAAGGGAATGATGCTGACCTGAGCGAGGACTTCTTCATTTATTGGAAGAACAGGCTGCACCGTCCAGAGACTTTCGCTGCGGACTATTGTCAAGGTGCAAAACGACCCGCAATCCTGGGATTTGGAGGTGAGTGGCGAAGTGAGAAGACGGACCCTGATGATGTGTTGGATGAACTCCTGGAATTCGTGATGGGCGATGCTCAATTTGTACCTGGCTTGGATATCAACCTTGTGAAAGAAACAAGGGCACTTGTGATTCCCAAGGCCAAGGCCGCACCAGGTCCAGGTGAAAGTCTGGCCAGAGCAACGCGTACTCAGGCCGAGACATCAGAGCAACGCTGGCGAGGAGCTGCCGGAAGTGATCAATACCATGATTGGCAGCAGTCATCCTCATCGTCTTCCTGGTGGTCCTCATCCAACCGCAACTGGTGGCAAGATGATCGCGGTCGTGGCAGTGACTGGCGAGGACATGACTGGTGGAGTCAGCGCAGGTGGTGAACACGACGCACAGCGGGAGCTGTTGCCTGTGGAGAAGAGAATGAAATCTACGGGTGACTCGGCTGTCTTTGTGCACTGTGTTTTTCCCTCAACGCACCGCGGGAGCGGTTGCCTGGATGACCGTTTCTGTGATGCACCGGGGGACCGGATGCCTGAAACCAGCAGCTAATTCGTTTGAGTTCAGGTCGATGAACTTGGCTCTCAATCCTTGCAATGAAGAGCGCACATCTTTTGTTGTGCTTTGTCGCCACGCGGGAGCGTGTGCCTTGATGGCTTTGTTCCTGCTTTCTAAAAGGTTGGCATTGCACTCCCAGTTCCGCTGCGCAAAAGAGATTATCTTTGTGAGCTTGCTTTGAACTTTCATGCATGAATCAGTTGAGACATGTTCAACCCTAGCATCAAAGCATGACAGTGCAATATGTGATCCGTCCTTGAGGTCAACCATCCTCTCCATCTCAAGGCACGTTCCGGTCCGATGCTTCGCACGTACCGGGGGACCGGATACCTTCGTAGGCCCTTAATTAATGCACTGTACATAACTTCACTCCTCCCATTTTCGTTCAGCGGGGGGTGTTGTTTCACGCTAGGATGTCGTATACATGTCTCACTTTACTACCGTTTGGCTCAAGGAAAACCAGGTGCGACTTGTTGGTAGTTCTCGGTCGTTTACCTGTATCTACAAAGATCAAAGATCCAGACCATCCCCCCCAGTTGATTGAGTTGCTTGGGGGGGAACTCTGTCATTCTTATCTCCCGTAGAAGATCAGAGATCCTCTTCATGTTGGCTGAGGTCAATCCTAGTGCCACGTGAGATGGCACACCGTTTTCCCTTTGACATGTGCGCGACGTCGTCGGGGACAAGCTGTTGTCTTCCGCAGAAGAAAGGTCAACTTGGTTAGGCCACGAATCACCATGCAAAACCTTTGTCCGGAGGTCTCTTCTTCAGGTTTTTCATGGCTTTTCTCCACCCGGTGAATGCTTTGCCGTCAAAGCCAGACCTCACCAGATCCTCACCGTCCGGTTCCTGCTTTTGGAAGAAGTCGGCTCGGACGGCCTTGCGGGCGGACGTCAGGTACGTGGATCCGGTCTTTCAGACCTCAGACCCCACGGAGCGCATCAAAATGAGGCTGGGAATGGCTGAGCGGAGAAGAGCGGAGAATGGCGGAGTAGGCCATGCGCGCGGGGCGGAAAAGGAAGCTGCGGGGGTTGGCATGGACAACGCCCAGAAACGGTGTCTCGGTGGACAGTGGCTGTTGTTGTGGGTTTGTCGTGGGAGAATTGGGAGTTGGAATGAGGACCCCAGGATTCTTGGCATTTCCCAGAACTTGTTTCAATTTTGACCACTATTCATGGGACTTCCCCATCTTGGCATCGACTTGTGTGTTCGTTCGAAGTCGGTCGACCTTTTTTGGGCCGCTGTCCATCACTCGCGTGGCTTTGCATCACTCGCGTGGCACGCTGTCCAGGGGATTCACCCTTTTTACTCGCCTGCAGAACAAGACTCGCCCTCAGGGTCGAACGAAGGTGTTGTGCGGGGAATGGGGAAGTGTGGAACAGGCGGACTTTGCGAGGAAGAATCGTTTGGAGAATTCAATGGCGAACCAGGAACCGGGAAGTAGACCCTAGAAGTCAATTTTCACTGACTGAAGTAAAGACATTCCTCTTCGTGTCACCTAAAGACAATTATAGTCTTTGACTCCCAGGGTAGATGGAAGTAGAACATGTATAGAGCAAACTTCAAGCCTGGTGCCAAAAGCACCTAACTTCAAGCCTAGAAGATCCGTTTCAGAGAACAGGAAGCATATCGAAGCATGGCGCGCTTCGCAATGCGTGATGCGAAGTTAGCTGTGCAGCTGTGTCACCTGCCGCTTTGCTCAGCTCGTATCTCTTGCTTAAGGACCACTCTCTTGTTGATCTTCTCTGGACAACCGCTGAGTGGCCTTTGGCCTGCAGCTCAGATCTTCCAGGGCGACGACCTTTGGCTTCCTGTCTTTCAGCCAGCCATGGAGTTGCCAGTTAGCCATCATGTGCTATCCCACAAAAACTTGCCCATTGAAGAGGAATGAAGATAGACCTGAAAATCTCTAGCAGGCTGTGCTACTTTTGTGCCACTTGCGATTTGACAGGTCTCCCGTCTCCCCAAGAATGTCAAATTCGTGGGCTGTCAAGACCTGCAGAATCCCAACATTATTTGCACCAATAGGGGAGGTAAAGCTCGGAGATGTTGTGGGCACCACGGAAGCGATCTCGACATCACGGCCACGGTTCTTCCTGAAACCCCGCCCGAGGACGGGTCTTCAGCAGTGGCTTGAGTCGGTGGGTGAGGAGTTCACGTCCTTGCCCAAGACCCAGGCAACGACGGTTTTCAGGGTGGTGGGGCATGGTGGAGATGGGCGGAGAATCCGGTTTTGTGTCCTTTTTTGGTCTATGGAATCCTCGTTGGATCTCGTTTCCTTTCTTTTTGGGTGGGACATTTCGCTCGTGGAATCCATTAATGGCATAGACGACGGACCGCTACGCCCGGAACCAACGGACCATCGCACCTGACGACGCGACGACATCACGTCCCGGCCAGAAACGCCACGGGTTTCCGTTGATCTGGGGACGGTGCTGTGCTGGCTGGTTGGCCCATGTTTCTGTGGGGAATTGGTTTGTCCATTTGATTCAGAGTCCTTGCAGACCTTGCAGTAACGCCACAAAAAACGGCTGTTAATTGACCGATCTCGGGGTTTACCCAGACACTCAGAGAATGAGTCTCTCCTGGTCTCTCCTGTTGGGGAGCAGGTCTTCAAGTTGCACTGTGAAGAAGGCTGGTTCAATCGTCGGACCCATCAGCTCACCAAGTTCCAGTTGCGGCGCCAGGCGCGCTGGCGAAGTCGACCCGGTCGACCGTTGGGAGGTTTGGGGAGACCTTCCCCCGTCGTCGTTCCCTGGGACTGAACCCGTCCAGTCGTTCGTTTGTCCAGTCGGGCCTGATGTTGTGGTCGAAAGAGAAAGAAGAGCGGAGAAATGGACACCACGCCGTGGTGGAAGTATGAAGGGGGGCAGCGTGGGGGCAATTAGGGGGCAAGGTGGAAGTGATAAGGGGGCAGTGTGGGGGCAACGAGG